ATCAGCTCCGGGAGTAATCCCGAAAATGACACTTCGGGCACTGGAGTGTCTTCACTTGGATACCAGGAATGTATATAATATGCAAAAGACAGTAATTTTGAATACATGCCGTATTGTCAGAAGCATCTGACCTCAGTAAGCAATCACACACCTGTCATCATACCTGTGTGTGGTTGACATACCGACCAGTAATACTGTGAATAATGTAAGACAATAATAATAATAATAATAATAATAATAATAATAATAATAATAGTCATCGTAATCAATACTGAATGTAGAGAACATTAAATGTAATAAAATGCAATGTGCCTCGTTCTTGATGAATATTGCAAATACCATGATTTTATTCGATACTAGAGAGAACGAGTTCATCTTCTTTCTTTCGTATATCGAGCCTTTTTGGAGGATACAGGAAAATAAGAGACGAAATATACGAAGGCGAAGAGAGTGACAGAGACTGAAAATGCAGACTTCACATGTGGTGGTTGAAACACCAAGCAGGCAAATCTCGGTATTATTGCAATCTATCAAAGCGCTTATGCAACCGGATATCTGGTTTCAAAGATAATTTAGGAGCCAATCAAGAACATCGACGACCACATTCATAGAGAGAAGAAGATACTTTCATTTTTTATATTCATACTTTATGTTTAACAAGAATATCAAATTACGAATGACCCGGGGTGATGTGTGCCTGGAACGCTAAAGTGAAAATCCAAGCGTGGGATACATGCACCGAATGTTACAAACGTAGAGTAGATTCCCACCTTGGAGGTGCCGAGGAGACTTTGCGTATCACGAAGGTATGTGGGAGTTGACTCATTGTTATATTATCATATCTCATTGTCATGTGATAAAAATATTAATAAAACTTAAAGGAAGGGCCAAAGGGTACCTGCTCATTAGATGACAGCTGGTAAACAAAGCTTCAGATGTTAAATTTTTAAATGGCTATAATGCATTATTCACATTTCGTGGCGTTTGTTTTTCAAGTCTTTTAGCTTGAACCTTGTTTTGTATCTTGCCTAACCAGTACATGTGTTTAAAGTAGATATATGTTAAATCAAATAATTACGTATTTATTCTAACTATATTGATGAAACCTGACGATGTGGTCGTAAAGCTCTACGGAATGTTGTGACAAAGTAATAAACAAATTTATCTTCTATAGTTTTAAAATCTTGTTGTCGTTTAATAACTCAGTCCACAATGATGCATCCTACGTTTGTCTTTCTCAATGTTTGTGAAGTTAATTTTTTGAATTATTCTTGGCCAAAATTTGTCTTTGTCACGGATCTTACATATCCATGTCTTGATGTTTGTGACGCGCCGACGATTTGAAGCCCTGGAACGAAGGTATCTTCAAAGTTCTCCGGAGAATCGTGTTTTCTTGAAGTCACTCCTAGAAGAATTCTGCGTAACCACACTACTAAAATGTGACTTACTAAATCACATGCTGTAATATTTACCCGTGCGAGAACTCTCACATATACGATTTGACCATCTCTCCCAGCCTTCCATTTCCATATTAAGAGGGAAAGTTGTTAACGAAACGTATTAATTTGTTAAAAAATGTGTATAAAGGTAACTTCCAATGTATTTATAGGATATCAGATAAAAATAAAAACAATGAAACTCATATTTGGAAACAAATTTTGAATAAAGATTTATTCAGTATTGTAGAAAAATGGTCTTGGAACAATTTATACTTCCTTACAAAGAATATTTGAAGTAATTATACAATCTTTCTTTCGCTTTCCTCTCTCTCTCTCTCTCTCTCTCTCTCTCTCTCTCTCTCTCAATATTATAATATATATATATATATATATATATAAGCCATCAACATTCACTGTCATTAAATTAATGTGTTAAAATGTGTGTTTCAGAAATTGTCATATCAATATTTCTTTCACCATTTTCCTTTTCTAGTAATGACTGAAATTCAATATCTGCAAGTAGCACTTTTCTCTGCTGGTAATAAGATCTCAGTGTTTAACGATAATTTATTTTGTTACACAGTATTTGGCAGCTTCAAAAATGGAGAAGTTTTCACCGTGGTGTCTCCTCAACGATTACCCCGATGAAGGAGATTTAGAAGCTGTGGTAAGTTTGTTTCCCCTTTCCCAATCAGATTTTAAATAAATTAATTTTAAAGAATGCACTCCAAATTAAGAAGTTTACGCTTGTAGCAAGAGGTAACGTTGTCATTACGTGAAGTGGGTATCAGATAGGGCTATTATGAGATGTAAATTCTTTTTCTCTTTTTGAAAAGCGAAACCTGCTTAGTACACAATTCTCACAGGCCACGGGCATTCATTGAGAATTCTTTGACTGCCCGTTTTCTAAAAAAACCTGATGTCACAGTTTACACAATATGATTCTATTATATTTGCCACTGCGTGCCAAGAAAAGCTTCTGTATTATGAATATGACCTTTACTGGCCGTGGTGACGTTCCCTGTACTCGTACCATCCGCCCTTGCGTACTCGTAGCCGAGGTGAAGGAAGACGGCGAATATTTTGTACTGTTTTTTGCTGAGTTTCGAAGCGCTGGTTCATGGTGTCTACTTACCGTTCTGGTATGCCAATGCTTGTTCATGTATCAAACCAAAATTTAATGCGCCCAATACGCATATTTCTTAGCTTCTCTCCACGATTGATAGGAAACTCGCGCCTCCGGATTCTCAAACAAGGCGATCTCGCGTCTTATGCGGGAAAAAATTGGATTCCGGAAAATTTCTACAATATGCAAAGCTTTTTCGCCGATAGGCCAGAAGGTGGTGAAATATACCGGTCACTTTTAGAAGCAGTTTGAAGATTTATTTCAAAGAGTTTCATGTAAACTTGTGAGAGAATTCGTGGGCTTTTGGACCAAAGCGTTTGAAATGCACCATCTTTTCTTTTTAAATACGTTATAGAGTTGTCAAAGTGAATGAGCTCCAAGTGTGACACAAGTCTTGAATTAATTTCGCGATCTATGTGACTAAGCATTTGGTTATTACATTTCATTTTCATTCATTTCATTCACGTTATGTCATTTCATAAATACAGGTTTTAACCTTAAACATACGTTGGTAATTCTGTCTTCCCTTGAGCATTTGGCTGTTTTCCGTTGTTAAATGTACCAATGACGGCATTGGGATGTACCTCAGCGTTTGCTTCTTCATTAGTGCGCATAATAATTCTCTGTAAACGAGACCTTATACTAAGATTTGAATAATGATGTATACTTTATTATAAATATACTGAAGCGAGTGGTCTTAATACATGCTTTTACACGCCTCTAGAACGAAAGCACACTAGAAGTGGTCGGGCGAGAGTGCGCAGTGCATTATGAAGAAATTGTTAGTGATGGGGCTCGAAGCAGGGGTAGTGAATTCCGTGACTAATGAAGACATGCGGAGAGGGTATTTCGAAGTGGTATTTGGAAGTGGTCATGTACGGATTTCTTTCCTGTTATGCGAATTATAATTCTTAAACAAAAGTGTTATTTAGTTATGAAAATTGATTTCGCGTTAGTTACTATGAATTGTGATTGGAGACGAATCAAAAAACGAAAATTAATGAAGAATGCAGTAAACGTGTGCTGTGAATGGACGTGCAAGGAAATTCAATGGAAAGAGAATGAAAGTGTTGCGCAGAGGCGTCCATTGCAAAGTGAATGGAAGTGCTGTGCAGGGAATCCCATTGAAAAGTGAATGGAAGGGCTTTGCATGAAAGTCCATTGGAATAATTCGACGTTGCCAGTAGACGTGAGTTGCAGTTAAGTAATTTCTGTGAAGTGTGATTCGGAAATGAAATGGAAATTAAATAAAAGCAGAGAAGACTTGTGTTGTGAATGTGACATACGCAGGGAGCTCATGAAATAAGTCGTGGCTGCGATAAAAATATTCCGAGGACTTAAAGTGTTGCGGGGAAGTACGAGTTCCACGGACTGTATCGGAAGATGTGTATGAATAAGGTTGTGCCTGCCAATGAAACCTGCGTACGACAGACGGAGCAGCGCTGCCGGATGGGGCCGTCAAGGACAGGGCGGGAACAGCTGGCTGCCGGCGTTGCGAGTTCACCGGTGGTACCCAAACCCGACTGCGGAACAACAGTTATTTATGCACCAAGGGCTTTATAAGAGACTTTGGCCCGACGGGTTTTTGTCGCCGCGATCATTAGAATGTGTTAACGTCAGTGTTACAATCAAGATTTTCTTTTTTTACCTAATTTTAATTATTCATTTTTATTTAATTATAATTAAGTAGACGTTAACTTGACTCGGTTTGTATTTTTGTATTTCCCTCCCATAATTCTCTTTCATAATTCCCTCTCATAATTTCCTCCATAAGAGAACGTGTAACATCATTCAACTATTTTCATATTTCCCTAGTAACCACGATCCTCTCTATCGAGGTAAGTTATGCAGTGTATATGGAACTCCATATCAAAGGCAACAGCAAGCAATAACGTATCAGTAATAAAAAATTATTGAATACAAGTGTTTTTAAAACTGTGTCATAGTCAAAGAGAGAGGCTTTTCAATATGAGAGTTTGATTCAGTAGCAGAGATGTTTTAATAAACATAATTCTCGCATTTCATTATAAATTATTTAACGATAATAATTGCCAAAGTATACAATTGTGAATAATGATGAGATGTGAAATTTCATTGAATTAAATAGCTACATAAAATGTCATCTTTGAGGAACATTATAATATAGGCCGATTTCACGCACGAAAAAGGGAGAAGGAAGGCAGACTCTAATAGGGAGCAACAACGTCATTACAGTTTTACTGCCTTTGGGAGTCTGCCTTCCCTTTCCCTTTTTCATGCGTGACCTTAAGAAGCACTTAATAAAATCGAAGTATATATTTTGTACGAAGTTCCTTGGTGGTGAATAAAAACTCAAAGCATCCAAACATATTTTCATGGAGCTCCGAGCGCTCGTGATGTACTACAAGTATTTCAGATAAATCCCTCACATTGCTATATTTGTGCGTATTTGTTACATGAACCTAATAGTGAATTAATGTTTCCGTTTCAGCTATTTGAAGGTTCCAAGATATACTTCATCAACAAAGTGTTTGACCTCTTAGACACAATATTTTTCGTTCTACGTAAGAAGTTCAATCAAATAACTTTCTTACACGTATACCATCATGTAGCCATGTGTTTGGTGGTTTGGGCGCATTTTAAATTCAACCATCTAGGAGGTGAGTAATAAATTACTTGAATTCCTTAGCTTGTGACCATCTTTGATTACTTTCCTCAAAACCAGAGCAAATTTAAAAATAAATTAATTTCCTCGATTTATAAACAGTGGCTCACATTAATACTCGAACAGCCACAAATACAGAAGGCGTTTCTTGTTTGACTGTAATTTTTCGTACGTGCGCGGGCGTTACATGTGAGATATTGCAAGGGACTGTATCTTTATTATTATGAAACAGAATAATACAAAGAAAATGTTTCTGATGCACAAGAGACGTTTCATAAACGCGGATTTACGTGTGAATATGCAAAAATACGAAGTCACATGAATATTCGGACACATAATGAAAAATGTCCTTTTACCCCCTCGCCACCGTCCTAGATAGCGCGATAAGCGCACTATCGTCTACTCAGGGCAAACGAAACGATGAAGTCGGTCTCTGTAGATATTTCCACCTGCAAACGCTTCTGCAATGAGGCGCAATGCAAAGAGCTCGACGTTCGAGCAGAGGCAGCTTGTGGTTTTCCACGACCCACAGGGACGCTCCTGCAGAGAGATCGCTAATCTTTTACGCACGAGCAAGAGCTCGGTGCACGGTATCATTAAGAGATTTGAGAAAGAAGGCAGAACTGGATCTAAACAGCAACAAGGACAACTTAAGAAGATCCGCGAAAACGAGCAGCGTGTAATTTGGAGGAGAGTACGAGGAAATCCGAAGGTGAGTGTCGTCCAGCTGGCAGCCGGAACTACACGGAGCGTCAGGGACACTTGTGCACCCCGAAACAGTGCGCGGAGTAATTAGGAATACCGGATATCTCGGCAGAGCGGCCAGGAAGAAACCCTTCATCGGTGCTGGGAATAGAGCTAAATTACGTCAGTTTGCAAAGGAATATGTGGCGAAATCGGAGGAGTGGTGGCGTGAGGTAATTTTTATAGATGAGAAAAAGTTTAATATTTTTGGCAGTGACGGTATGAAAATGATATGGCGCAAAACAAAAACAAAATTTCATCCTAGAAACATAGTGACAACAGTGAAACACAGATGTGGATACATAATGGTGTAGGGCTGCACATCAGCTGCTGCCGTGGGGAAGCTGGTATTTATTAAAGACACAATGAACAAAAGAGAATTTACACAAATCTGTGGACACACTGAACATCAGGAACTCGTTTAAATTTTATCAAGATGAAGACCCGAAACACATATCATATTTATTGCGGGAATGATTGTTGTACAGTTGTTCAATATTGCTGGAAACGCCGCCTCAGTCTTCTGATCTCAATCCAATCGCGATTTTATGGCATGAATTGGAATGTACAATCAGGCGAATCCCAATTACGTCAAAGTCTCATCTGGAAGCGTGAATCAAGGGAGAATGGGCACAAATTGGGCGACAATACCTGAACAGGATTATTGGTTCAATGCTAAAGCGACTACAGCAAGTCATTGAGAACAATGATACAAAGTATTAATTTTCTTTTTGTTTATTTATTTGTTCATTTATATTATGTTTCATTTCACGAGTCCGAATATTACTGTGGCTAACGAATCCAGACAATTTTATTTTGCTTTCTTTTTTATTGAATGCGTCAACTACACTCAGCATTTTTGTTTTGCCTATGCTGTTATCAGTCCACAAAGGAACAATTATGTTTCACTTTCTTACTTATATTTATTTTCTACAACCGCCAAAATATCGCAGAACCTCGGATTTAAGGAGTATCTCTGGGTGTCCGATTATTAAAGTGAGCCACTGTAGGTATTACAAATCTCTTTAATATTATTAAATTACTAGTCCACCATGTAAAGTAAGTTATGTTATCACTATTCTTATTCTTATTAATGATATTATTTTTAATAATATTATTAATAACAAACTTGCATAATACGCCAAAATCACTTCGGAATCAAACCGACGAAAAAGGCAACGGAATTGGATAACGAATTTAGGAATATACAGGGGCAGAGAAATAATAGCCTTGAAGTAACAAATGAATTAAAAATGCACAAAATTGAAATATTCGCAGTAACAGAAATCAAAAAAGGGAAATGGCAATGAATTTTTTTCAGTTCTGGGGAAAAAACATCGTCGAGCAATGGAAGGAGTCTCTGTTTTGATAACTAAGAAATGGAAGGAACATGCTCAAAGTTGCCATAAATGAAAGAATAATAACCCTTGTTCTGGAAATTGTTATTATTAGTTTTATGACTCTTGGCGTATGTTCCAAACGATTATTATTTGGTTTTATGATTGTTGGCGTATGCTCCAAACGATGACACCACCTTGTTGGTGAAGGAAGAATTATATTCTGAATTAAGTGCAGTAATTTTAACTTTAGGTAATAGGAACGAATTAATTTTATTAGGAGATTTTAATACTTTTTTAATGGAAACGCAACTCTTTGGAATCTATTCACAAAACACACTTTCCACCATTACAAAACGGCCACTGAAGATCTACTGACCAAACTTGGCTGGCTTACAGAGGACTATGAGGCCAACATCTAAGTTATAATACAGACAGTACGTGTTACATATGGAATAACCACAGTAGCCCCCTCTCCCCTTCATATTATCGTTCTCCATGTTGTCACGTCTAAAAGGCGATTCCTTCACGAAGGGTACGAAGGCTGATATAAGCTATAGCTTATTTGTCTTTTCAAATAGTTTTACTATACTGGATCGAATGTTTGTTATCAATTCTTGCCAAAAAACTAATTTCCATCTGCATTCAGAATTAAATTTGTATATGGATTAGGGTAGGGATCACAGAATTTCAGAAAACGTGTACATAATACACTTCTCCTCAAAGTACCTCGCATAGTTTCTAGCTGTTTTTGGCGATAAACAAATAAATAAAAAATAAAAATACCTATTGTTACTGATGTTGGCTTATTCTTCTTTTACTCTTGGTTTTATTTCGTTCTAATTCCTGTTTACTTGGGTGCTGCTCAGGGAAAGATAAAGCCTTTCTTTTTTCATACTTTTAGCATTATATTCTCTGCATTTCATTCTTTAACATTTATTTTATTTCTAAATATAAATTTCAAAAACATTTTTCAGGTAGGCATTCATACTTTTACTCGTACTAATACATAGACTCATATTTTCTTACAAATCTAATGTTGCCAAAACTTTCTCTGTATTGTAACCACCGATGTGTCCCTTCCCCTTCGTTTTTTTAAATTGCGAAGTATAATCCTTTGAAGCTAATACTTAGAAGTTGTATTCCACACTCTGTATTAATATGAAATATACTTAAAAACCCCAAGGATATGCCAGGAAAATGAACAAATCATAATACAAAGTGAAACTTTGTACTGAATTAATGATGTCTTTCAGGTGGTGTTGGCTGTTGTACGGGAATTGCCAATGGCGTGGTTCACATTGTGATGTACACGTACTACCTACTTTCTATACAAGGATATAATGTTTGGTGGAAGAAATACCTAACACAGCTGCAACTAGTAAGAACTCTCACGATATGTATATATACTCTTTATATATTGCTAACATTGTTGCATTTAAGAAAAATATATTATTTTCAACATAGAGACCAAACTAAAGAAGTAAATACTACTGTCAAATAGCATTTAGATATATCTGACCAAAAGGGTTTGTTCAAACTAAGTTTTGGAACTTGTAGGTGCAGTTCATCATAATCCTCATACACGCTTTTGGAGGCGTCTTCTACGAAAGATGTACAAAGTACAATTTCCTCATAACGTCATCAATAATTATCAACGCTCTTTTCTTTGTTTATCTGTTTGGATCTTTCTACCTCAAAACGTATTTGGGAGAAAAGAAAAAGAAGAACTTATGAAGTGGGGCATACAGTGAAATAAAAGATCGCGTGTCGGGACTACCCCAGCAACTGTATTCGACACACACAACTATGCTACGGGTCGAAAATTCTGGCGGCTCAAAAAAGTAAAATCTGCTAGTCGACGACCGTCACCGTCCCTCCTTTCTTTCGACTCTAGAACATGTTGTTGTGCCGCTCGAGCATGTTGTTCTGACGCTCGAGAATTTGCATATTCTGTACGACGCTGTCGGGGGAAGACCATTGATTGTGGGAGTTCTTGGAGCGCGAACGACTGCGATTGAAGTGCATGATAATAGGGGAGGATGGACGACAGACAGGTGAACAGTGGGGTGACTTCGAAGATAACATTGAGCCATCCAAAATTTTCTAGCGGTACTATAAAGAGAGGTCAAAAACCTGGGGGAAATGTGTACAGTGTTAGTGTTTTTTATATAACGAATTCCAAACACTCGGCTCTCAGTTTTTTTCTGGCCGAATATATAAGTAAACGTTTATACATACTAAATCTGAAATTGGGAGGTTACGAACTTGTGACACATTAGAAATCTTTTGGTATTTAACAGAGTGTATAAATTTTAATTTCCAAAATTTGCGAATAAAAAAGATATTTGCAACAACACATTTCATAGAGAAAAGTACAAACAAGAGTAAAACTACTTTGATCATATAGCAGTACAAAAATATTTTGATAAAGATATTTGTGAGTGAAGCATTAGTGAGTGACCCTGAGTGATAACAAGCAACAGAAATACCAATTCTTGTGATCAGTTTATTCTCTTGGATGGTGCTCTTATCTTTTAGAGAGGTGGGCAAGTTTTTTCTCGTGTAGTGTCAAATTCAACAATGAAGAATATACCGAAATCTTAGATCAACGAACCTCAATTCTCTTGATTTAGTGCGAGGTCATAAAAATCTATTGTTTTTGAGACTAAGAAGCATTGCATATCATTTGAATTGAGTCTGTGACTAATTGGGTTATGCATGAAATCGCTCGCATGACACATACGTGGGAACGCATGCAATTATCCTTAATAAAACGTACGTAAATTTGCTTTTCGTGGCATGGCTCTTATAAACAGGTTTTATGAAGACACTAAAATATCCCTATTTATTATTTTATTTTGTATTCACTTATTTATTCTTCTATTATAACGTTTAATTTACAGTTAGAATAATTACTTTTATAAAAAAACATTTGTAAGCGTGCATTTTTGGTTTTTGAAAATTAAAGACAGAGCGTCACAGGTGTAATGCATTTTTAATTTTATTTTCATTTTTTCTTCCTTCCTTCCCTCCTTCGACTCTTTGCAATCATTGCCTCATGGTGTCTTAAAAACTAAGTTGCATATTTGTTTATGTACACGCATGTTTTTAGGGTTGAATTTGAATGATCTGACGTAATTTGCCTAACAAACAGACACGTGCTCGAAGGACTTCAAAAGTTCAAAGAGGCCAGTTCAGAACGTAATTATGATAACCATCCTAATAGGCAATTAATAGAGAACAGAGAGAATGATAAGTGTAGAAAACAGTAAATATGAAGTAGTATAGCACACAACACTATTGGTACACTAACTGAAAGAATAAATACAAATGACATGGACGCGCAAGTATCAGAGAAAAAGTGGCAAAAGTAAATATGGCATGTAGGCAACAGTTTCACCCTCTCGATTTCAATGTACGATTGGCTCCTTGGGTGGTTAGGCTTGAAGCTTCGAGGATGTGCTGTTGTTGATCAAATCGTAAAGGTCGAGTTTAGGGCGTGGACGTTTCTAGTAACTGTAAAACTATTCAAATTAATTGTAATAGATTAATTATTCTCGAAAGAAAAATAAGTTTCGATGAATAGATTACATAATGAAATTTACAATTATTAGATTAATTTGTATTAGTTATTTTCAAGTAGAATGACGAAACAATGATATCGTTATTTTAAATTTTTATTCATATCACATTTTCAACTTTACAAGAAGGGATCTCTGCCAAAACACATTTAGGAATTAACCTAAATTACAAAAATAAAAATAAATTATGAAACATAATATAAGAAGAACAAAAACAAATATAATTAAACATACTTAGAACAAAAATGTATAAAAAAGAAAACAACAGAATGAAGCAAAATTACATAAATTAAGTAAAGCGAAATAAAACCAAATGAACTAAAAGGTTTGGCGAATGACTACCAATAATACAACACGAAAAAATGAAAAGTACATCATTAAACTACCAAAAAGTTGATTACAAAATTTACTAGTAAGGTAAATACAAGAAGCTTCATATTTGACTGAATGGTGAGGAACTCTTAGTGTTTTATGAGCATGTCGAATATCACGGGTCTTATGCGTTGTTTCAAATGAAAATTGTATACACTCTCTAAAATAATGAATGCTTATTTGGATCTTCTGCATCGGAAACCCCGAGACCGTATGTATGCCTCTACATATGCTTAAATGATTTGATTGGCACGATCTAGTATAATAAAGAAACAAAGATATCGTTATTGTACATTTAATTCATGTCACATTTTCACCTTTACAAGAAGGGATCTCTGCCAAAACACATTTAGAAATTAATCTAAATCACAAAAAAAAAATTATGAAACAAAATAAAAATAACAAAAACAAATATAATTAAGAATACATAGAACAAAAATGTCAAGGACTGTTGCCTGTGAACGTTCCGCTAAATATAAGTAGTAGTATTTGATCTATTGAAGAGATAAATCAGAGAAATTAAAGCTAAAAAGTTAGATTTGTATAATTACATTAATACGATTCATTTTATTAATGGATTAAGTAAAATTCAAAAGACATTAAACTAACTTGATTCTGATCATACATTGCAAGAGCTGGGCCTGAATATTAATTAGCAGTGCTATATTTCCTGCTGACCAGATTAATGAGCAAGCAACAGTGAGCATTTTTGCCAAATTTATCAGATGTTCATAAAAACGGAATGAAGGCCATATGTTTTAAGGCTGATAGCTTAGACGAGTCCTCAATAGCCGTATAATAGCCTTGCCTTCAAACACTGTAGACCTGTGATAACTTAAATTCGTACAAAATTTAAGAAGTTAAGTTAAAGAAGACAGCAGGCTTAAAATGAAAACTGCTCCGAACATACAAAGTATCTTCTTCTTTTGTAAAAGGCAATAAGAGAATTAGGAGTAAATATAAATTGGATAATACAATCAGAATAATTAGATACAAATGTGCAGTGATTGTAATATAAATCAATTGAATGGGAATGAAGATATTGATTATTAATTGACCAGGCTTAATAAATAACTGAGTGTTTGTAATTGAATTCACGCAATTACAAACATTAGTACAGAAAATATTCTTTCATCGTACACCAGACGGAACATAATGCAAAGAGTCGTAATATGCACATTCACCCTCACGCAGCATTGAAAAGGTTTATTTTCGCAGAGTAGTTTACTTTTATAACTAGTATCTTATAGTTTCTCTTTTTACATTCTCGTATACGTGCGTATATAGGGAGTAATATACGCAGTATAGAGAATGTAATGCTGCAGAAAAAATCGGAGATTTTCGATTGTGGATTCTTGATGCCATGAAAGAGTTTTTTGTATTTAGGCATTATAAAAGAACCTTTTCTGTTGCAAGAAATCGTTCGTAATCGGGCATTTTACGGCACCAATGATGACGTATTAGATTTTATGTCACGAATGATTGCGTCATCACACATTCAGCTAAACGGAACAGTTGACCACCGTTTATTCGCACGTCAAATACCCGAGTCGTCACAGGGAAGTTGTTTCGCAAAATTAAGTTTGATTCTCTATAAATGTATAATTATGTTATACAAATATATAGTATGCAACTCGTTTGTAATCTTGCTTTATTACATTCGTACAAATTTGAAAACTCGCTCCTAATGTCGCACGATTTCAAAACATGTACTAATGCCATAAAGTTTCACATTATAAACTAATTGCATGAACTACTATTTTTCCAAACATCCGTCTGTCCGTCAGTCTAGTGTATGTGAACAACACTAACGTCTAAACTATACCTAGAATGTTTTCCAAAATTCCAATAAACCCCTGTCGATCTGACCTCACTCAAATTCACCTGGCCTCACTCTGCGATTATGAATAATATTCATTAATTTTTAGGGGTACTTTAATGAAGCCCCTGTGATATATTCAAAATTTTCTTAGAAACGACTCCATTTTTTCCCCCTTTGAATTGCTTTTAAGAGTACAGTTAAATATATTTATAGAAGTGGCTTAGGACCGAATTCCACTCTTAAGTCTTAAGTTTTAAAAATTACAAAGAAGATGTTTTTGAAGATTTTATTCCAATGAAATTTGTTGTACACAATTAATCTTTTATTGAGGTCATATATATTTTTTGAAACTTTTAGTAGTTTTCGTGCAATATTGTATGCAATATTAAATAATTACAAAAACAAGAATTTCCCGAAAAAGCAGCTTAAACGCTTGGTAGGGATAGTGCTAAAAGTACTCTACAAGATGACATAAACGCCATTATGCTCTACTGTTTTGTTTTTTTTAAATATTCACAAATGAATTTTTTTGACTGGTTGTTTTTCTCCCGTCGTTTATATTTACATTTGCGGCGATTTGTTCACATAATTGCATTAATGAGTACGTGTGATTTAAATGATGTCTGATAAAGTTGGTCAAAAACGTAAAAGTGTTCTGTTAAAATGAGCTCGAATCTCTGCAGTTTCAAAAATCCTCAAACACCATTTTCTCAAACACAACTCCATTTGCATTCGTCAAACTTTTTATACGGATAGTGCTATATGCATCGCTTAAGATGTAACAAATTGCATTTTGCTATGTTCTTTTCTTTAAGTTACACAAATGTAATTGTTTTGAAAAATCTATTTTTTACGGCGTTAATATTCACATTTTCAGGTATTTGTATACATTGTTGCATATATGAGCAGAAGTGTTTAAATTATTTTTAAAGAAATTTCTCGAAAAATCAAAAGTTTTTTGTGATAAAGAACTTCAAATTTTGCATTTATTTATTACAATAATATTTAACTATTTCCTACAAAAAGCTCTAAATTTTTCAACAGTCAAAATTTTCATGGAGTAGAAGGTTTGACTCTTGTTTAATATTTTTAAAGTAATATTAATACCGCGTTTTATAGATTTTAGGTGATTGACGGGTTTCGGAAATG